AGTGAATGTCACTATAGAGCTGAGAAAATTCATGATTTTAATACAATGTAGGAAAAAGGCTCCAAGGAAGAAGGAAAAGATGAGCTAAAGAATACTGTATCATAAAGTTAGATGCAAAAACATGTTTCATTGCATAAAAATGAAGAACCATCAATGTTTCCACTAAGTAATTCTGTTTATCTTAATGTGTGAAATTTTTCAAGTAGCAATAAAATAAAGCATTAAGAGGTTAGTTTATTTATAATGAGTAGTTTTTTGAAAATGTCCTCTAAAAAATGAAACAGGATTGTTAATTCACTATAGGATTCTACCAAATAATTCAAGAATAAACAATATCTTAGTTTCTATTGAAGAGCTTAAGAGCTTAGTCTTTACACTAAAATCACTACCAGACAAAAACAAAAGAAGCACAGAAATACCACTAAGCAATATTAATGAAAATATTGTAAAAGAAATGTAAGAAAATTGATTTTGATACCTCAATTTACAATTATGCTCATGAACAAGTTAAATTTATGATTCAATGCAAACATGGCACAATCTTTGAAAACCAATCAATATATTATGCCAAATTGACAAAATGAAAGAGCACCTGATCATTAGAATCAATTCAGGAAAGGATTTTTACAAAATTTGATAACTTTGAATAAAACAACAGTTTAGAAGGGAAATATAGAAGCAGCATCTCAAAATAAAAGACATAAATAGAAAAACTCACATGTAGCATCATGTTAAATGGAAAAGTATTGAAATCTGTCCAATATTATGAATAAATCAAAAGTACCCCTTTCACTAATGTTAATCAACAACATACTTAAATTTCTGTCAAGGCCACTCAAACAATAAATAGTATATAGAGATAAATAGTACATAGTCATTAACATATCCATCATCTTGGATAGAAAAATGAGTACAATTAAGATGCACATTAACCGGTTTCCAATATATAATGCATTATTGTATATTAGTTATGCCATAGGTCTACAGAGCTAACTCATCTTATATGAAGAAATGTTACGTTGAATTAAATCATGTGATATAAAACTTATAGCTGCTGTCTATAAAAGGCTTCACCAGTCATATTTTTCTTTTTCTGGGGAGTTTGTCTGAAGACTCATCAGAAGGCGTTTGCTCAGGAAGATACTCTGAATGTTCCTCTGAAGAGACTCTCCTGCCCCCTTCCTGCCATTCCTCTCATGGAGACTGTTTTTAAAAAAAGTGTTTCATTAACTTTAAGGCCCCCAATGTTTAGACCTCCATATATTGTATTGTTTTTGTCTAATGCAATCAGTCTTACAGCAAGGATATACCATGGCCTTGAGATCCTTTCATTCTAATAAATTTCAAATCTATGTAAAATTATGAATTAGGTTTAGCTTCCTTTCTAGACTGACTACCATTACTATGTTTCATTCCATTTAACATTTGTATGGAGTTGAATAGTAAGCTAATAGTAATTTTCTAGCCGCCACTGCTTTATTCTTTTTCTCTCCACTAGGCTTTTGGCCCCTAGGAGCTCTGCTTATACATTTTCTTTCAACAATTGCCCATGATTTCTTCTTTCAGTCTCCAGACTTTCATTTCATAGAACCTCTTATAAGTGTTTTCAATCCTACCCCACCCTACCAATGGAATTCTAAATATATATATATTCTAAATATAAGCAAAATATAAGGTGACAATTTTTTGTCTTAAGATAGTGCTGAGCAACAAGAACTAAATAAAAGAAAGGTGAATAGAAACCCTGTATGAGGTAATAAAATAAGTTGCTATTTCCTAGATACAATCTGTTAAACTTAACCTTAGAGAAAACACAGGCCCCCTGAATATGGGTGTCAGTTTGGAGGCCTGGGCAGTTTATGAGGCCTGTGGTAGTGGAACTAGAATTTATCCCTAGTGCAGAGATTGACTATGGGAGCTCATTCAACCTAGAGAGATATTCTCTCAGCATAAATACAAGGCAGAGTGCCTAGGCCCTACCCCAAAGGATGTGACAGACTTTGATGATCCCCCATGGAAGGCCTCACCCCCTGTGTGGATTGGATGAGGGAGTCAGTGGGGGACCCGGGAGGATGGAAGGGAGAGGAACTGGGATTGATATGTAAAATAATATTGTTTCTAATTTAAATAAAAATTATTAAAAAACAAAGAAACAATAATGCATGTTAAGTCTACTTATAAATATACATATATAGTTTAATTGAACTTTTAAAGCTGTGCTGACAATCCTCTCTCCAAGAGCAAAAGACCACCTTACAAAATCCCCAACATCAGGCAAAAGAAGCCCTCTTTTAAGTTATTGTTTAAAGTTGTCCAAGAGACTCTAAAAACATTGGGCCTATTGTATTGCCCTTGGTTGTTCTCCAGAAGTGGAGGATAAATCCCTATTACTAAAGATACCATGTACTTCAGACACACATCTAAATGACCCTTCTTAAACTCAACTAAATGTCTACTCAGTGAGGACTAATTTTCATGGCAGCAGAAGATATCATGTAAGCTTCCAAAGGAGGGAAAAATAAAAACAGTCCTACTCAACTGTGACTCTTATGAACCACAACAAAGACCAACATAGGATGATAATCCTAAAGGTGCAATAGTGACAAAAATAATTTGGTGATGACCAACAAATCTCTAATCTGCTTAATACCAGCTCAACAATAGGAAATCTATGCCTAGCACTGGAACCTCAACCAACTACACAGGACTAGTGAAGTCAAGGATCTTGGATGAGAACCTACAACCACCATTTTACTAAACTAGCAAAATACCTAACCACACTCCAAATATTTGTCCTTATATCTACAGATAAGTGAAGTCTTCACTCATCATCAAGGAAACTTCTCTTTGCAACAGATAGAGACCATTACAGAAAATCCAAGCCACAAAAACACTGAGCTATGGAGCCGTGTCACAATAGGTGTAGCTACAAAACAATTCCTGCACATTGCCGAAGAGAGTAAAAGATTGTAAGAGCCAGGAGATCAGGTGGTTTGCTGTGAGGCTGTGTTTCTTAGTAATGTCAGAAGCTACACTCATAATATCTCATCAACATGACTGCTAAAATATGAGTTGAACAAAGGCAATAATAATAGACATGCCAAAATGAAAGAAGAAAGCCCACAATGCCTCAAATTACACCAAGAATTACAGACAACAAAGGAATGTTGAATATGAGAAAAACAGTTTTCCTGAAAGAAGAATGCACCAATTTATTACCTGATAGCAAATGTTCATTCCTGAAACATACATACAAGAAACATTATATAGACTAAGCCAGTTATTTAAACATCTCTTATTAAAATTAATTTTTGAGGCAGTATCTGACTATATGCTAACTAGCCTGCCCTTAAATTCATAACCCTCCTACCCCAGCTTTCAGAGTGCTTAGACAGTAGGAATGTACTATCATGTCAGCAGCAAAGATCTTTTCTATAAGACAATGGAAGAACAATCAGTACATGAACAAATTAATACATTGCATTTAATTAAATGTCCATTCTTACGGAGGAGTTGTTAAAACAATGAAATGGCAAACTACACCCTGAGTAAATATTTTAATCCTCATTTCATAAAGGACATTTATTTGAAATACATAAGGCACCTCAAATCTCAATAATTAAATAATAATCACATCACAAAACAAAAACTTAGTGAAAGAAAGTAAGCATACAAAACTATTTTGGGTACCACTTGAAATTTAGCAAATGCAACATAAATGAACGTAAAACACTATACAAATTTAAAAATTTATATCAAAAAGGGAGAAAATGCCACATGTTAATAAAAATGCAGAGTATATGAAACACAAACTGAAAATGTCAACTGCTAAAGAATGGAAAATTTCAACCATTTTCAAAGCATAAAGTATGCACTAACTCTCCAACTGTTTACTTCAGATAAATTATAGACACACAAACACAAACACAAACACACACACACATAGCAACTGTGTTTGTAATGCCCCCAATTAAAAACAGCTCAAATATTTATCAGCACATGAATGATGAGCAAATTGTAGTACCCTCATATAATATATTCATATCATTAAATGTTACCAAAGAATGAAGTATAATAAACTACTGATAATAATACAAGTTTGATATATATCAAAGTAGGTATTAAGAGAGCAATAACCTTTCTATGTCCTACTATGTGACCACTGAGGGAAAGCAAGTTGGTCTAGTTATCCAGAGTGAGGCATTTTATCATAAGGAAAGTGAGAGAATATTATAAATGGTTTCTAAGAAAATATTTGGCAGAGGGCACAGGTTTGTTTTCTTGATTATGGGATGCTCATAATCAAGTATGTACATGTGTTAAAACACAACATAATTTTGTAATACAATTCAATGACTTGATATATGTTAATTACACTCCATAAAGGCTGTTTAAAATAATTTATCAATGAAATTTGCCTAATTTATTACTAATTTTGATATGAAAAATACCAATAGCTAATTTATTCATTGCTAAAAATATTGAAGCATTTTGGTTTTCTTCACCTTTGGCAAGGATATGGTTTTTGTTTGTTTGTTTGGCTGGTTTGTTTTTTGTTGTTTGTTTTTTGAGACAGGGTTTCTCTGTATTGCTTTGGAGCCTGTCCTGGAGCTCACTGTGTAGACCAGGATAGCCTTGAACTCATAGAGATCCACCTGCCTCTGCCTCCCAGGTGCTAGGATTAAAGGAGTGTGCCACCACCATCCAGTGGGAAGGATATGCTTTACTACTCCATGAGTAATTCAAGGTAAATATTTTTTATTGTACAATGAGTTTTATGATGAAGCTTGATCAAGCCTGTATATGAGGCAAAATAAATACCAATTCAATTATTATTCTTCCACTTGACTTTTTATTACTCATCAGCCTTGATTTCATTTATTGTTAAATATGTAAAAATAAATAAATATACTCTATATTCCAGATCAAAGGTACCAACAAAGGAACTATTGCTACAGCATAAGTGACAGGAGTAGCTCTGAACTGGACTAAAGCCCAGGTTAGTTTGTGAAACCCACATCTGCTGAATCAGGTGGAGAATCGCTGTTTGCTTCTTATCAGAGCTTGCTTGACATCTTTGTTCCTCAGACTGTATATGAGGAGGTTCAACATAGGAATGACAATAGTGTAGAAGATAGACACCACTTTGCTCTGCTCCATGGAAGAGACAGCACTGGGCTGTGCATACATGAAGAAAACAGTACCAAAAAACCAGCACATACCAATCAAGTGGGAGGCACATGTAGAGAAGGCTTTCTGGCGTCCCTGCACTGTGCAGATCTTCAATATTGTTGAAGTGATATAGATGTATGAAACAAAACCAGTCAAGAAGGTACTGATGATAATGGAACCACATAAACCAAGAAGAACCAGCTGGTTTACAAATGTTTCTGAACAGGAGAGGGTTAATAGTGGTAGGACATCACAGAAGAAGTCATTGATTTCATTGGACCCACAAAAGAACAAAGTGAAGGTCATTGTGGTTTGAGTGACAGCATTCACTGCACCCCATGAGTAGGACCCTGACACTAATAATCCACAGACCCAGTGAGACATACTCGCAGAGTAGAGAAGAGGATTACAGATGGCAATGAAGCGGTCATAGGCCATGGCAGCCAGGAGAAAAGCTTCTGTAGTACCAAAAAAAGACAAAAAAATAATTGTGTAGCCACCCACCAAATGATATTGTGTGGTATTGTTTCAAGCAGTAAATACTTTACTGAAACTGTGAAGTATTTAAAATTGCACATTTACTTTTTTCCAAATTTAGAAAAATATGGATGTCTCAAACTCAAACTGCAATGATAAGGACTACAGATGTAGCTCAGTGGTAAAATGTTATGTTGTCCCAACCCACGGGACAGCAACCTAGGGCAAGATGTACAGGGAGGGGAATGGGGACAAGAGATGCAGACAGAATAACCACAAGACAGGATTCTGATCAAGTGGCAAATTTTATTTGTCCCAGGCTAGCTTATATAGTCAGTTGAGTGGGGTAAAGGGGAGGAGGAGAAGAGGCCAAGAATCAGGTGTTAGTTTAAGCAGGATGTCAGAAACCTATAGAAGGAGGATATTGATAGGGTAAAAAGTTCATGGGTGTTGGGGCGAGGGAGGGTTGCCTAGGTAAGTGGTGGGGTAAGGGAGGGTTTCCTAGGTAAGTGGGCCTGTGATTGGAACAAAATATTGACATCTGGGTCATGTTGTTCCTTCTGGGTGCTCATGCTTCTAGAAACCGTTTATAATCAAAAGACAGTTCTATAACCGTGTGGCCAGCCAAGTTTGGACTAAAGGTTCATGCCAAGCTGTATGGCTCCCAATAGTGTTAGCTAGTATTCCCAAGGTTATAAATTTAATCCCTAGCAATACAAGAAATCACAAAGACAGACATGAGGAAACATTAGCCATAACTGTTGATTACTTCTGCATTATAATAACTACTATGTTAGATACACTGGGAGACATTGGCAAGTGATAAGTACTGTGAAAAATCATTAAATTCAGAGTACTGGGTCTCAATATCTATTTTCTTCCTTCTTCCATAACATATTATCTTAGCTTTAAAGGTTTTAGATCCCAAAACACTACTTCTATGAAGACATGACTACAGAATGAGCAACGATGCCCCACAGTGTGCATACTGCCCTTTCCCTTTAGAATTCTTTGTAATCTCACTGGTTTTAGTATTTTATATTTGTCTATCCTATCAGCTTTTATAAGAGACCTTATGATTACACTAGATCCTTTTAGATATTCCAGAATAATCACATTTTCTTATTTTTCATGATAGTGTCTGGCAATATCCTTTTATAATGTAACATAACATATTCACAAGATACATAAAAGAGGATATTATATCCAAAAATATTTTTGGACATATTCTAAACAAACTAATTAGTTTTTGTTAAAATATAAGACAAAATTAATGAAACAATACATGTTTCTTTTTTAAATTTTTTAAATTTAAATTAGAAACAAGATTGGTCTACCTGTCAATCTAAGTTCCATCTCCTTCCCCTCCTCCCATGCACCCCACTAACACCCTACCTATCCAATATCATTTTTGCTCCCCAGGAAAAGTGAGGACTTCCAGGGGGGTCTTCAGAGTCTGTCATATCCTTTGGGATAGGGTCTAGGCCCTCCCCCATGTGTCTAGGCTCAGGGAGTATCTCTCTATGTGAAATGGGATCCCAAAGTACATTCCTATGCTAGGGATAAGTACTGATCTACTACAAGAGGCCCCATATGTTTCTGAGACCTCCTCACTGACACCCACATTTATGGGGTCTGGATGAGTTCCATGCTGCTTTCCCAATGATCATTCTGTGGGCCAAGAGCTCCCTTTGTTCAGGTCAGCTGATTCTGTGGGTTTCACCATCCTGGTCTTGACCCCTTTGCTCATCATTCATCCTTCTTTGCAACTGGATTCCAATTCAGTTCAGTTTTTGGTTTTGGGTATCTGCTTCTACTTCCATTAGCTGCTGGATGAAGACTCTGGGATAGTATATAGTTTAGTCATCAATCTCATTATCAGAGGAGAGGATTTAAGGTAGCTTCTGCACTGTTGCTTAGATGGTTAGTTGGTATCATCCTTGTAAATCTCTGGTCATTTCCCTAGTGCCTGATTTTGCTTTAAACCTATACTGGCTCCCTTCTTGGGAGATAATAAAAATCTCTTATTTTGCTTTTCTCTATTCTTCCCCTACACAAACATCCTGCTCCCTTATGTCCTCCTCACTTCTCCTCTTCTCCCCTTCTTATTCTTCTAGTTCCCTCTCCCCTCCCCACCATGCTCCCAATTTGCTCAGGAGATCTTGTCCCTTTCCCCTTCTCTGGGGGGACCATGTATGTCTCTTTTAGAGTCTTCCTTGTTGCCTAGCTTCTCTGGTGGTCTGGATTAGAGGCTGGTAACCATTTGCTCTATGTGTAAAATCATATATCACTCATATATGAGTGAGTGCATACCATGTTTGTCTTTTTGTGACTGAGTTACCTTGCTTCGAAGGGTTTCTTTTAGTTCCATCCATTTGCCTTCGAATTTCAATATTCCATTTTTTTCCATTGAGTAGTACTCCATTGTGTAAATGTACCACATTTTCTGTATCCATTCTTCAGTTGAGGGGCATCGAGGTTGCTTCCAGGTTCTGGCTATTACAAATAATGCTGCTATGAACATAGTTGAACAGATGTCCTTGTTGCATGAATGTGCTTCTTTTGGGTTTATGCCTAAGAGTGGATTTGCTGGATCTTTCGGTAGGCTTATAAAAATTAGACCTGTTCATTTTAGTTGATGTGGTGTCTTTCTTAAATATATTATTGTTAAACAATTTTTCTTTTACCTCTTTTTCATCTCTAATACAAACTTCTTCATAAGTTAATACAGAAATAGCACATAAAAATCCAGAATTTATTTAAGCATTCTCTCTTAAGAAACACTTGGACTACAGTTAATTGGGATTTTTGTTGTAGAAATGAAACTTCCTAAAGAGATACTATCTAAAGCATCAAGAAAGTGATGAAGCTATGTATTTGTGAGGCAGGTATTTGTATGTATGGGGTTATATGAAATTTGGAAAAATTGTGGCTACTGTTTTTCTTGTTGCTTATATATTGCTCTGGATCTCTAATATACAAAGCTCTAACAATATGCCACAGAGATATAGTTCAGTGTACTAGTTAATGTAAGGCTCTGGTATCAGAAAGCCAGGGTTCTCATGAACTAATGTCATATTATTGCTACTTTTATAGTAGCTTGACCTGTCAGATGTATGTATTAATAATGATGGTAACTGTAAATACAAAAAAAAATTATAGGTGAATGTAGTTTAGAGATTCTTGTCATATAGTAAGCACAACCTCATTGCTGCTGCTGTTAATAGTTAAGAATGCACTATTTCTCCAATGCATTTGGATTCATTGTTTATGAATCAATTGTAAGTCTCAGAAAAATCATGATTGATTTAGAAGTTCAATCAATTTAACTGCAATTTAAATATATTTAATAATTGGTTACAGGGTCTTTGAGAAAGCATTATTTTTTTCTACAAAATGGACCTCACCTAAATGTGTGGTGTCCCTCCTTCTCTTTCTAGCTGATTCTTGAGTTCATCTTCAACTCTGCAATAAATTATGTACAACACACAAAATTTCTACAGACCAATTTTATAAGAGATACGTTGAAGAATATATAGTTTCCTTGGTGCTGGTCATCAGAGATTTATTCCTCAGGGGTCTGTTTTACCAAGAAGAGTTTGCTCACATAGGCAATTTTGGAAAGTAGCAAAAAGAAGTCCTAGAAGTAAGGATTTGAAAGCAAAACAAAACAAACTCAAATCATAATACATGTTTTTTAAAAATAGGAGTAGTCCTTACTTATGAGCTTCAAAGATGGAGGGGGAGGTCAATCCAACATATATGCTATGAAAGTGGAGAGGGAAATACCAGAGATAAAGGTTACAGCAGAAAAAGAGATAGAAAAATATATGGAGGTATATGGTGTAGAATCAGCCAAACTAATCCTCTATTAAAATGCCATACTGACATCTGTTATCATGTAAGCTAATTTTAAGATATACAAGTAATAATTAAATAAATAGAAATATAAAAATTGAAATGTCTTTCATTTTACCAGACTACAGCTGACTGAAATAAATAGTAATGCTAACTTAGGATCCTAGGCAAATACACAGAACATGAGTAATGTACTTTTAAATGAAGAATCACTGAAAAAATCAGGGGGTGAGTCTAGAATAATAATAAGAAAATATAAAAGAGATAATGATAAGAAAGAAAGAAGTCAAGTTATTCACATTTGTAGATGGGATTGTTTGACATTTAAAAGACCCTGTGGACTTCATCAGAACCATTTTTTCTAATAAATTGCATTTAGTAAAATTTCAATATACAAAAAGTAGCACAGAAAGTTAATATCACTTATGTATACCATATATTATATACATTCATATATATAAAATTTCGGAAAAATACCACATTCACAGCAGCTCAATAAATACTTTAGAGTTAAATGTAACCCAGTCAGTTAAAGGCATCAACAATAATTATTTTATGACACTGAAAACAGAAATAGAAGTTACTGGGTAATGGCACTTGCTCCAGGACTGATAGAGTTAATATTGTGAAAATGGTAATACTAACAAGAGCAATCTACAAACTCAATGCAACCCCCACCAATATTCTAATGATATCCTTCACAGAACTAGAAAAAATTGAAATTCATGGAGAAATACAAAATACCATGCATAGACAAAGTAATCCTAAACAGAAATAGTAATACAAAAGTTATTACAGCACCTGACTTCAAACTGCACAATAGAGCTGTAGTGAGAAATACTAGCACACAAACATGTAATGGAAGAAAATGGACAACATGCTTGCCCCTTTACTTTAAAAATGGTGCAAAAGTAGAAATTGTGTGGAAAAGCCTACTGAAAAATGTCATAAGCAAAACGGGGTAACTACTTGCAAAAGAATAAAATCAGATGTATATCTCTGACCCTACACAAAAATCCATTCAAAGTGGACACAGACCTTAATTTAAAACTGAAATCCTGGGTTTTGGGATTGGAGATTTAACTCAGTGGTAGAACAAATGCAAGGCCCTGGGTTCCATCCTTGGCTCAGGGAGTGAGAGATGCAGGGCTACTGAATCTGCTAGGAATATGGAAAAGAATTCAAGATATAAGCATAGGCAAGACATATGGATACAACCCAACTAGCATAAGAAAGAATTCAACTAATAGACAAGTGGGATTATGTGAAATTTAAAGGCTTCTGCACATAAAGGAAACTATCTGAAGAGTGAACAAGTAGCCTATAAAATGGGAAAAAATCTTAGATATCTGTAGTTCAGTAAAAGATTAATAGCTAGATTATACAAAGAAGTATATTTGATATGTGGCCAAATGCAAATAAGGAAGATAATTCTTTTTTTGTTTGTTTAAGGAAGATAATTCGTATATTTGATATGTGGCCAAATGCAAATAAGGAAGATAATTCTTTTTTTTGTTTGTTTAAGGAAGATAATTCTTGTTTGTTTGTTTGTTTGTTGTTTGTTTTTGTTTTTCGAGACAGGGTTTCTTTGTGTAGCTTTGGAGCCTATCCTGGCCCTCTCTCTAGAGACCAGCTTGGCCTCGAACTCACAGAGATCTGCCTGCCTCTGCTTCCCGAGTGCTGGGATTAAAGGTGTGCACCACCAGAGCCTGGCTATGGAAGATAATTCTTAATAGAAGAAACACAAATCATCAACACATATTTTTTTAAAAGAGCATTCACCATCCTTAGTCTTTCGGGAAATGAAATAATAGAATGACTATCATCAAGGAAAAAAGGGATAAATGCTGGTAATAATATTTGGAAAGAGGAACCTTTTTTAGTTGCTACTATGGAAATCAAGATGGAGATTCCCTAAAAGCCTAAGAAGTAGCATATTACTCAATGATATTATGATTATGCATATAACAAAAGACTTGTATAATCTGAGAAATAAAGACCCAGAGACAGATATTGGGGTTCACGCTTTAAGCTGAAGCTCAGTGAAGCAATCAGCCACTAGCTCTTACCTCTACCTCAGACTGAAAGGGTTGATCTTGTCTCCACAAACTCTCCTCCTAGCCTCAGACTGCTGCCTCTCCTCAATGTGGCTGGAGACAAAATCTCTGAGATTGACGTTGCTTCTTCCATTTATACCTCTCTCTGCCCAGCCATAGCACTGCTGTCTCCACCTTCCCAGTGCTGGGATTAAAGGAGTGTGATCCCAACTGTTGAGATCTCTTTTGTTTCAGCAGTTTCTCTTTTAGACTAATTCAGTCTTGTATAGCCCTGGATGGCCTTGAACTCACAGAGAGATCCAACTAACTCTGTTTCCTGACTCTGGGGATTAAAGGTGTATAGCACCACTATCCAGCTTCTATAGCTAACTAGTGTGGCTGACATTGCATTTTGATACTTTAGGCAATATTTATTAAATCATAAATAATCACCACAGATTCTATATCCCAACACAGATATTTGCATTTCCATAGTTAAAAAGTCTAGATGTCCATCAACAGATGAGAATGTGAAGAATATATGGCTCACATACTGAATGGAATATTTCCAGATATATAGAAAAATGAAATCTACAGGCAAATGTTTGAAACTGGGATAACAAAACAGTTCAGAAAGTAAAGAAAAATACACATTCTTATATATATATATATATATATATATATTGAACTTAATTTTTTTGGGGATTTTCAAGACAAGGTTTCTCTGGGGCTTTGGCTGCTGTCCTGGAACTATGTCTTGTAGACCAGGCTGGTCTTAACTCACAGAGGTCTGCCTGCCTCTGCCTCCTGAGTGCTAGGACTATGATCTAATTTTTATGTATGTTTGTTTATGGGAGAGTAAGTATGAGTATGTATCTTTAAACTACAGAAAGGGCCTTCAGATAATGGAAAGGTTTTTGTTTTGGGGGAATTATATTTATTTATTTTATGTGTATGTATATTTTGATTATGTGTCTAAGTGCACCACATATGTGCCTGGTTCATGCAGAGGTCAGAAGGCATCAGATACCCTCAATGTGAGCTGTTAGTAGTTAAAGCTGGATAGTAGTTAAAGATGTGTTTTATCCTTTTATGCTGTGGAATATGTGTTTAGTGATGCAAAGAAGTATTGCATTTTTTGTGTTGCATTTGTTTAACTCTGTAAAACTTTGTTACTTTGCCTGTCTAAAACACCTGATTACTCTAGTAAAGAGCTGAATGTCCAATAGCTAGACAGGAGAGAGAAATAGGTGTGGCTGGCAGACTGAGAGAATAAATAAGAGAAAGAAGAAGAGAGGAAAGAGGAGGGAGGAGCAAGAAGAGGAGGATGCCAGGGGCCAACCATACAGCCACACAGCCAGCTATGGAGTAATAAAGACATAGAGATATATAGAACAGAGAAAGGTAAAAGCCCAGAGGCAAAAGGTAGATAGCAAATTTTCAGTTTAAAAGGCAGCATAGAAACAATCCAAGCTAAGGCTGAGCTTTCATAAGTAAGAGTAAATCTGTATATTTATTTGGTAGCTGGATGGCAGGTCCCCAAAGAGCAAAGAGTAGAAAAAGCAACTACAGTGAGCCACAATGTGGGTGATGGGAAACAAATCTGGATCCTCTACATGAGGAGCAAGAACTCTTAGAGGCTGAATCTTCTCTCCAGCTCCAAAAAATTTTCTGATGAACGGTGTGAAAGAACAATAAAATGCATGAAAATAGAAAGGTTCATACTGGGAGCAAAGCAGTAAAAGCAGGAAGTGGAGGCAGGGAAGTTAGAGAGAAGTGAGAAGAATCAGCTACAACAAAGCCT